CGCTTCTGGGTGGGGCGAGAGGTGAAGTAGCCCGTCCAATAGGAGTGCACGTCGCTCGAGTAGGGAAAGAAATCCAGCTTCTTCTCTGGCCAAGTCAGCTGCATTCGGTGCAGCTCATAGAGGTAGCATGACGGTGTCGAATAAAAAACATTCACTTTGGAGCCCTCCACTTGACGGGCGTTCACATATCTGTATATAAATCGAATTTACTTTATGATACTCCATAATCGAGAGTATGTATTAGTTCATACTTGATAAGCTTGTCCATGTTCTTGAAATTGATTTCGGCGTCCTCGTACTGAAAGTCATCGCCCATGGGCACCATTATGTGCGTGGCCCGGAACGAGTTGGACATCTTCTTCACGTAGCTGATGAAGTCATCTACTCGGGCCTTGACATTGTTGTCGTAGCTTTTGCTGTCAATGATCGGCTCATCGCTGCAGAGTAGATCGAAGCAGAAGCCAGGCGGTGCCGAGTAGTGGCGGTAGAGCAGTCCGGTAAAGATGTCCGAATCACTCAGCGATTCACTCGATTGCCAAATCATTTCCATGGCCACATCATCCAGTCTCTTGCTCTTCTCCGCGTGATCCATGCGGGCAAAGAACTCGCCATTGTAGCCCATCTGGGCAAAGATCGAGGCCATCTCACGGGAATGGCCAAAGGGATCGATTTGCCAGCCAATGCGAGGACGAGCGCACGAGCCGAAGGTATCATTGAGCAGCCTGAAAGGCAGAAAGAGAGGGTAAGCTCTATTCACATAGTTGATATCGCTATTTGGACTCACTTTAGACCCAATGAGAATTGATCTATAACACTCTGATAGTGCACCGCAGCCTCATCATTCATGCTCCACGCGCCTCCAGTGAACTCCAAGCGTCCCTCATTCACTAACAGCTTAACCATTTGTTTCACAAATTCCGATTGCTCCTCCCACCACTTCCAGAAGAAGGCCGTCTCCACCTGGATGAAACGTCTGTCGGGATTCTTGTGGAGTTCCACGATCACCGAATCGAGTATATACTGTACGCCTGCATGCTGTATATTGTTCCTCGATCCGTAATAATACTGATCCACAGTCTTCAGCCAGCCGACATCGTCGTGAGAGTGCGGCACCAAGTGCACATTAATCATATTCGCCTTAGTCGCTGGACAGGCCTGTGGAGCACAGAACATGGATATACCCCATAGATAATGTATGTAGTTGCTAATGTGATTCAGACTGTACCTCATAGCCGCACTTTGCCTCCGCCGGACCTGAGCTAATCACTAGCACAGCTGCTAGAAGAGCTACGAAACGCATTGCACTCGACTATTCCACAAACGAATCCAATTGAGAACTGAAGCTCAGACCGAAAGAGCAACAGCTTTTATATGCGCTCACCAACCATAAAAGTGAAGATAACAGTTACGGATTAACTATTGTACGGCTCGCAGGGGTACTATGTACACAAATATTTTGTATGCATGTATGGGCCCAAGTGGGTATAAACAGCGTATTCCAAGTAGTTGATAAGCTCGCTCAATAGCCGCACTTCACTGTGCTTTGATACTATTTGGGGCTCGTCTATAAATTAGTAAGCCCTAAGCATTACTGGCTTTATGGATATAGGTTGGTATATATTCATGTTTGATTGGAAATATTTACTTACTACTTTTACTTACTTAATACATTTACCGTCTACTACTTTTGCTTACTTTTCTTCTACTACTTTTACTTTTTACTACTTTCTATTACTTTGACTA